AGGGGGCGGCAACAGTTTTGGCGTGCTGGATATCTCACTGGAAGATCATCCTGGATACACGGCACATAGGTGTTACTGCATCATAACATATAAAAGCCAATCACATCCCAATATGCTAATCGGGAAGGAGGTGGGTTATGATGCAGCTGAATTAAGCTACTCGTTGCTCCTGGAAATGTGTTCGTGTTCATTTATTTCATCTTGTTGTTTCATGATACCCGCTATATTGTCAAATCCTTTAATTACTGCAGCAACATGTGGTAAAGGTTTATGCTACTGCATTATTGATAAGCGAGGAAGTGGTCAGGGACACCAAACCCATTACTGCGTCACTGGACATTCTGCCAAGCCGTGATAATGGGTTTACAGACGAGTTATAATATAGATGATAAATGCCATGCATGTCATGCTCAGATGTACAGTCTATCATGAAAGGAGATATCCACAGCACACAACAGGCTCTTAATATGGTTGCCTTTTTTACTTTTATGCATAGCGTGTTTGTGTTTGTGTGACGAAAGGCAAATCCACTTAAAAGCAACAGTAAAGACAAGCAAGAACTGGGAATTACAGGACAGAGAAAGAGACAGAGAGAGAGATGCTAACCTTCTGAAATATACTGACTGTCCAGCAGAGTGGTGTAAGTATGAATATCTTTCTCTGGGCCCATAAAAGAAACGAGGCATCAAGCAGCCCAGAGAAAACAGAAACGGGGGGGAAAAAAAAAAGCGCAAGACACGTTAAGTGACAACACTTTAAAAAAAATAGCTGTCGTTTTCCTGTAAAGAAGTGCACACAGCGTTAGTGTAAATTACAGCATCATTTAAATCCTTATGAAGTTAAGATAAGGGCTGGATGATATGACAAAATAATACGTCACAGGATGCTTTTCTGAAATAGCGTGAATATTAAGTTTTTTTTTGTTTCTTTTTTTTTTTTTTTTTTTTTTTTTTTTTTTTTTACAGACAGACTGGAAGCAGCTGAAGTGATGTTAAAATGTTAAAACTTTGATCCTTAAATATAAAAAAGTACATTTGTTAGACATTTTACTGTTTACAACTGTTTTTAATGCTAAACTACAGTTTTGCTGACTACCTGTCTGTCAGAGAAGCGCCTTCCAGAACCGTGATTGTGATATTTTTGTCATATCGCCCACTCCGTTACAGATTGTGTAACTGTGATGCAGCAAGAGCACACCATTTCAGCAAAACCAAACAGATTCAAAAGAACTGTGCTGACTCATGTTCATTTGAAACAGGAACAAAACATTACTTTCTGAATCAATAACCGCATGATGTCTGGAAGCCAATTAGCCTTTAGACCAATACTGTGGTCTAGTTCTTTGGCAAGCATGCCTAGTGTGAGATTAGGCATGCTCAGCATGTACAAAACACAATATTCAATCTTCACAGCCTTTTAGAGCAGTTCAGAATACTGGATTTTTTTTTTTTTTTTTTACATCTTTACCTGCACCTAGTTTCAATGGGCAGCATTTTAAATGTAAATACATGATCACATTTATGTATACAATCCAAAGTAATATGTAATCTTGCCTGTATTGCATTCATCTTCCCTTAGCTTGCGGTTCATTCTCATACCACACGGGGGCGCAAGATCAAGAACACCCATTCAACCTCCTTCATAACTTACATGATCCCAAACTATTTCTATCAAGAAATTAAAACAAGCAAAAAGCACTGCACAAATTATATGTTATCGCGTTCACGTATTATACGTTATGGCCTATTAAGCATCATTAGTCATGGTAAGCTTAGCTCAAGCGTAAATGTCAACAACCCAAGGTTAGGAAGAAATAAGGCCACCGTGCTGATATGATTAAAAACGTTACGGAAATAACACACCACGTAATAGCAAGTGCCCAATTCCTTTGTGGGTTTGCTAATAAAACTGACCTAAATTCCCTGAATAAGCCTTACATATATAAATACAAAATTCAGAAACTATATCTATTATGAGAAAGGGCTCATTAATCCTTTACAGAACCAAAAATATTGATCATTTTACAAACATTTGTCACTTATACACTGAACGTTTAAATAAACAAACTGACTAAAACCCTTGGCCCGATCCTTACCTCCAGGAGTCGAGCCCTCTGTCTCGGTCAGCACTTGCATAGTGGAGATCCGAGACAACTCCACCTCAAAATGGCTTTCTCCATCCAGGAACAGATATCTGATTGAAGACAAGATGGAAACAGAGAAATAAAAAAGACATTCTATAATTAGAGAGATCTATAGTGTAGATGTATGTATGTATGTCTGTGTGTGTGTGTGTGTGTGTGTGCTACCTGTGGTTATTTGACAGACGGCACACCATGGTCTCTGATTTCTCCGAGCAGCCTACTGTGACCAGGAATGTGCCTCCTAATATAGACACAACATTAGAACAACAGGAATTGTGGGCACAAATCATAGGTACATTTCGTAATTATTAATTCTCTTCAATTTCTTTCTTTTTTTTTTTTTGTATTTTTGCAATTACATCAAGTGATCTTGCCTTCTCTTGGGAACAATAATCAGAACACTGCTCATTGGCCTCATTTGTAAAGAATATAATGTTCCCAAACGTACACGTATAATTATTTCCCAAGTTCCTACGAGCAACTCATAAACTAGTCCAACAAAGTCCTAAATCCTTCCCACCATGTTTACTGTGTCTTTCTGCTATGTAACAGGAGTCAGTCTGTGGTGTTTTCTATCATTTTTAAGCACAGTCTGATTGAGGTTGAAACCAGAGTGCTGGTTTGTAATTCAAACTAAATAAACAAGGAAGCATTTATTATAACATATTATAATAAATATTTTACTGCTAACCAGTGAAAGTACGAGTGGATTTGTGCTTTTGCCCACCCATTAAACCACTTATCTCTGCAACAAGATACAATCTCAAGTAAGTCTCTTCACCAAATAATTGCTAGCACGTGATCTTTCATGGCGCAAGTACCATCACAGACTTTTACAGGCTACAGCAAATCATTTTAAAACTACGTCCACAAGGACGAGCTCATCGAGTTGACCTACAAAATGCCCTCCGATATTCTGACGTCAGGAGAAATGGTTATCGATACTGCATTTTGAAATTTTACCACAAACATTAGTTTCGTTATTTTCAGCTTGTTTGCTTACCTATTTAGTCAGTGCATACTTAATATTCAGCACAAACCTCCCAGCATGACACTACCACCACCATGCTTCACTGTGAGGATGGAGCCAAATGCACTGCTTTGTGCCAAGGCCAAAAAGGTTTCAATTTTGCTCGCAATCTTTTATCACGTTTGCTAGGTCTCCTACACGCCTACTGGCAAACTCGTGTAGGTATGGTCTCTAACCAAATCTGTGGAATTTAGACTCAAATCTGACCGTACACGTTTTATTAATAAGGGACCCAGGATACAAAAAATCTCTTAAAAACACACATACACGCACCACAGGACAGTTAATGGATTACTCATTAAGATGCAGAAGGGTTTAAATTTAAAACATGACCGCAGAAACTTGTAAAAGATGCACCTTTTTACAACAGGGTGTTAATGAGTATGTACTTGTGTGCATTCTGTGCATTTGTCGGCCTCACCTGCGGTGAGCACTTTGAGCTGTTTGTCATAGAAGTCAAGTTCTTTCTGTGAGATGAGGCTGCATTCCCCGCACTGCCTGACTGGATCTACAAAGCACATCCTGGGCAAGGCCACCTTCTTACTGCAGCACTTATCACAGAAACAGCGGCCACATCGTCGACAGTGGTGCTGCGGATGCACAAATGAAATGTCTGAAACGTTTGCAGGGGATATGTATTTGCAACAGCAGTGCACACCGACTTTTACAGTATACACTCACTTGATAAATGCAGGGGTGGACAAATCAGGACTAACAACTTATGTAACTGTGGTTTTATGAATCCTGGATAACTACCAGGGTCTGTGAGAATCACTCGCACACCTTCTTGTCCTCGTACGCAAGCATGCCGAGACCTTGCAACGAAGTCACAACGTGACGTACGACAGAGTATCTGCAATAAATGCCACTGTCATAAATTACATTAATGCCGTCCATGTTAATGCACGCAGCTACCCGACTTATCACTATATAAGACTAGAAAATATAAAAAAAAATTTTTGCTAGCTTGCAAGGTGCCCTCACTCTTAATATATGTCTTTAGGATAATACCTAAAATTCTGTTAGCACAGGAAATACACTGCTGCATTTATTCCTATCATGGGTCTGCTGAATATCAAGTCATGTCTTCTGCATTTGCTTGAGACAAAAAACATGTGACTGGACATGAATTCTTGTGCACGCGCGCACACACACACACACACACTAAACACACTGTCTTAAATGCATGCTTATAAACATGAACTTATAACATCACGATAAATCCAATGTTACAAATGCACAAATATGCACACAGCAAAAAAAAAAAAAAAAAAAAAAAAAAAAAAAAAAAAAAAAAAAAAAAAAAAAAAAAAAAACAAAAAAAAAAAAAAAAAAAAAAAAAAAAAAAAACAAAAAAAAAAA